ATATATATATATATATATATATTTATATTACATGGAAGAACAAAACTAAGAAAACTCACCAATTACTTTTTATTGTACCATAGGTACAACCTTTTGAGTACCATGACTTTGACGTAGAATATCCATCCCAAGGATGCCAACTCGTGCAAGCTCAACTTCGTCACCTTTTTTCTCTGCATTACACTTCCTGACCAACCCATGAATCCCTTCTAATTCAAGTGTGATCTCTTTCATAGTTGGACGTTTCTTTCCATTCAACTCTAAGCATCTATTTGCAAGATTAGCAACGGCAATGATTTGTCCCTTCTCTGCTTCTTTCATAACTCTTTTGTCAATAATGTCAAACAGATTGTCCTCCTCCAGACACTCAACAAAATATGATGCTAGACTCTTGAACTCTCCAGATCTTGCTGGTGATATTGCCTTTTGGCCTGTTAAAAGTTCAGCAAGAACTACTCCAAAACTATAGACATCACTTTTCTCTGTAAATTGACTAGTGTGAAAATATTCAGGATCCAAATAACCGAAGGTACCTTGAACAACTGTTGTAAGATGAGTAGCTTCAATAGAAATTACCCGGGATGTTCCAAAATCTGCAATTTTTGCCCTATACTTTTCATCCAATAGTATATTTGTGGATTTGATATCTCTATGATAAATGGGTTTAGATGCAACCGAGTGCAGGTAAAAGAGAGCTCCTGCGATCTCAGTGGCAATTCTCAAACACATCTCCCAAGTCATTGGTAATAACTCCTTTGTCTGGTCATGCAAATATTCAAAGAGATTACCATTAGGAATGAATTCATAAACAAGCAGGGGAATTTCTGTCTCCAAACAACATCCTAACAATTTGACCACATTTCTGTTGTTGATTTGTGACAGAATGACAAACTCATTGATGAACTCTTCAATATTTCCTTCCACCTTAAATTTTTTCACTGCAACAATTCTACCATCTACTAGCATTCCTTTGTAAACCGTACCTTGCCCTCCCTTTCCCAGAACTCTATCCATGTTAAAGTTGTCAGTGGCTTTCTCTAAATCATCTAAGCTAAAGAGAATAGCTTTGTCTACATTAGCTTCATTAGATGACATTCTTTGTTGCAACAACAAACCGCCATTCTTTTTGAAGAACTTCTGTTTACGTTTCTCTATCATTCTCTTCCTTGCAACCTTATACAACAACCATAGACCAAGGAGAAAAATGATAGATCCCAGACTTGACGAAACTCCTACACAATTTGTCACAATAAATTCATGGATTGTAATTTGTCCAATTATAAAAGTCATTGTGCATGCATCTATAGTACTAACAAAGCCAAAATTCACAGGGATGTAGTTAACGATCTGGAAAATAGAAAAACTATATAATCATATTTAGATAATTATTTTCATAAATACTAAACAAAATGAATTTCTATCACAATAAAATTACCTTATACAAGTTAGTTAGTAGAAACTTTTTTTTTTTAGTTTTCTTCTGCTATAATTAGAAAATTTTATTAGTCTAAATGTATATTTATATTTATATATTAGTCCTGATAACTGCCTTCATAAATTTAATACGTACCTACTATAGCCCACTTCTTCGCTTGACTGTGCTTGTAATAACCTGGGATCGCTGAAATATCAGAAACCAAGTTAGGTTATAGGTTTTAACTTACATGTACATATATATTAATCTCGAGGTAAACTTGAACTTATGAGACTGCATGGAATTAATTAATTTGATAGCAAAAGTGGAACTGTTGTATGATTTTAGAGCATATTTTAAAGATGTATATGCATATAACAATGACAAAACGAAAACATGAGGAATGTTAAATACAATAGCAGTCGTACCCAAAAAAATGGCATATGAATTATTTTATATAACAGTACGACTATAGAATAGTGTAAATTAAAGTTACTGCATAGAGATCACACCAGTGCAGCCTCCTGCAACGTAGGGATTGCCATAGAAGCCTTCTAAACAGTCGCATCTCCAACCAGAGCTTGTGTTTTGCGAAGATCCAACATTAGAGCGATTACAATCTAATTCTGAAAGGGATTGACGGGTAGAATTGTCAAGCGTGTTGTCCAATATCTCCCACTCAAGCACTGCCTCAATATAATCCGTATCGTTAATCGAAAACGTATCTTGCCAGTACGAGTATGGATATGCAATGAACGCATAAGTACACGGTTCACTCACAGTATTATTGTTTTCGGTGTTAAAATGTTGAAGTGTTGCGTTATATTCTGAAAGATACTTGGGCAGTGAAGTTTCACAGCAGTACCTGCCACTGCAACCATATTTTCCTACCAAGTTGAAGTTTTCATTGACTTCTTCACTGTCATCACACATGGACGCACAACAAGCAACAGTGGACCCATTGGACTGCAAAAAGGCAAGGTTGTTGCAACCAACGGCCACAAACGTGTTGGCTACCGGGGAATACACAAAAGGGCTTCCTCTCAGGTTTATTACTTCTGGCGTTGCTCTTCTGCCTGGGCAGTTCCAATAGAAAATCGGATTCTTGATATGAACCATATTCAAGCCAACTCCCATCACCTCCAGATTTAAAGACTTTAGGAAGGGTTTTTGGCCGCGGGAAGTTTCTCTGCATTCTACTTCAAACCACTTGCCTCCGTAGCATTTCGGATCTTTCATTCCAAAAGGGTACGAGATGTCAACACCTCCACATCTGAAACTACACCCAGGTTTTGCTATAATATACCCTTCTTTGGAATCTTGCAGTTCAAAATATGGCAAGTTATAATAATAATATGGCTGAGCATATATAGGAGGCAATGTTATGAACATCGTGATGATGACGAAAAATGGTATTTGCAGAATCATTGTGGCTAAAACAGTGATCCCAATATCTGTACCAGATAATTACATGAAGCATATATTTATGCATAATCTAAGATAACTCCGCTTAATGAATTTTTAAGCATTTGATTGATCTACTGGGAGTCAAACATTGACTTGCAGTAATACGGGAGGAGCTAGTCTTCTTTCTTTCTGTTATTTTCTTTCCGTTTTAATTCAACAATATTACGTGGTTATTTCTAGTGGACAGAGTCAACATAAATTAAAAACATTAGTTTTCAAAAGAAAAGAAAAAAACAGCCATATGTTATCTTCTTTGGAACAGTATTTTATAATATTACCTTAACAAAAAGTTTGCTTATTATGGTACATCTTTTCGGTCAACCAATTAGTAGGTCAATAACTCTTGAGCTGATTATTCTTATTTTTGTCAATTATTCTTGCCGACGACTCTACTTAATTATTTATGGGTAGATCACTATTAGGTTGATATTTTTGTTTATCAATTTAGCTCTCTGACAGGACTAACATCCTATTCGATCTTGATGATCTTGACTGATTATCTTGAACATCGTGATTGATCATGATCATCGTAATCAATTGATAGACTAACCGATTTAGGAATAAAAGTTCAGATTGACATTGAACTTCTTAAAATTCCTGAATTATTTCAATTCAAACACTTGCTATATTTTTAAGAAGTTGAATGACTCAATTTTACATTGGTTATAAGTTTTCCATGGTTTGTACTTATGTAAGAGTGGTGACATTTCAGGCCGTAAAGCTTATATGAGATACTTGGATAATATTTACAGGCAGAGTGATATATCGTGGTTTACACCAGTGGAACTTTTTAAGGTACCCTCTCGATGTGATAAAGATTTTCCAGTCCTTAATTTATAGAATAATGATTCAGAACGTGGTTTTTATGGTTTTCAGTTTTGTATGTAGAAATTTTCTTTGTTTTTAAATAATTTATTTAATGAAGAATTTATAGTTTCCTTGGACGTTGAATCTTAAGAGCTATTTTTGGTCAAGCTCAAAACCTTCTTCAACAGGGGGCTGCAAACAATAGAAATTGATTTAAAGGATTAATTGGTCTCTGTTTTGGGGATGTGAGCATTACCTGCAAATTTGCGGTGTTAAGATGGATGCATTTAGGGAAAGTTCGGGCAAGAATTGATTAGGTGAGGCATCTAAGTTAAAATTGAAAACAAGATGAAAAATTAACCTAGGCATCACACAAACAATGGGTTTGAAGGACCAGGTCTGAAATAGATTCCCAAACTAAAAATCTCACAAGGAAAAATTGGACGTTGAAAATATAGTTTCACAATTCACTCAATTCATCGTTGGAATCTAAATGGACAATCAAGCACAAATTGGACATGAAAACTTTGGTATGCAATTTTTCAGGATTTGTGTTAATAATTTTTTCTTTGGTTTATCAATTTATAGTGAAATTAGTTTCTGGTGCTTGAAACAACTGTAGAACCTCAATGAATATTTTTGTTTCTCTTAAAATTTTCCATCATGTATGTCTAAGCAGTGCTCTAGCTCTTTCATATTTATTTATTTATGTATTTACTTTTGTAGCCTTGGTATGCTCATGCTATTGCTGAAGCCATCATGCGCACTGCAAATTTCTCTGTTCCTCTAAAAGTAAGTGTCTTGCAATGTTGTTGCATTTGATCAGTGTTTCTTTTCTAGGTTCATCTGGCATATTTCCCCAATCTAAACTTCTCTCTTCATCCAGCAACTGGGCTATATGAGAGCCCTGCAAGTGCTGCTATTCAGCACTAAACCACTTATCAGATAATGTTTCACTTATTAGATAATGTTTCACTTCTCTATAAGTATGTTTCATACCTTTATATTATCTCAATAAGCCTCGTATTTTCTTTTTGATAATATAATGTAGTAAGTATCTTAAATTTATCTTGTTTACACAGGCTGTTCCTTTTTACTACTTCAATCACTAGTTGATACTATCCTCTAATTTGCAATCAGATATATGAAATTGGTGGTGGATCTGGAACATGTGCCAAGGGTATAATGGATTACATAATGTTGAATGCTCCTGCAAAAGTTTATAACAGTATGACTTACATGTACGTGCCTTGATAGTCAATGTAATATATATTTATTATAAAACCAAATTATAGTGTTAGACACAGTTTTTAATTCTTATGTTAAGATAGTGGGTTTAACTTTTATTGTATGTACCTCTTT